CCTCTACAGTAATTTTCTTAGCCTCTTCCCAAATAAATGCATTTAAAAACTAATTTAATCTCAATTCTTTCTAAAAATGCAATACTCTGTTTCCATTTTGGATGACTTTTCTACCAAAAGCAGCTAGAATGGGATTCTGCATAGAAACATATGGTTAGATTATTGCCGACTAGAAAGAAGAAATTCTGTTCTGCTTAATCACATCCTGATAAACTTTGAAATGGGAGGGAGGTGCATTCCTAATTTCTGGTTACTTTTCCATCTTACTTTGCTTTCAGTTTTGTTTCTCATCTTTGCGCTGATTTCATCCTTCAATTCCTGGTTCCCAACTCATCGCAAAGACTAAATTTGTTGGCTTGCTTATGTGCAATTGGTGACCCAATATGGACAGGGACCACATTCACCAGAAAAAGAAGTCTAATTCTTCTATGTGTTTGCATTTTTAAAATAGAATCTCCCCACTCAGCTACGGGATTAAAAAAAACTGGATCAAAGCAGTAGTTTTCATTATAATACAATTGTACAATGAAAGACACCATCAAATGGGTTAGATTTCCATTCTGTACACACTACTTCCAGTCCAGCCTGGGCCATTATATGCTTTCAATTAAATAAGATCAGAAATAAGACCTGGACACTATATAATTAAAGTACTATTCAATAGCTGCATACAAACTCTGGTCTAGACTTAGTTGAGTGTCCTTGAATTTCCTGGAATATTTCCCCCAAAGTGCCATTTTACTATCCTAGAGTTATTAGTTTTCCAGAAGTAATTATTCCAGAATAGAAATTTATGATCAAGCTGCAGAATTTTATACTTTTCCACTGTCAACTACAATCACAGATAGCCTAATTTATTTATAAATTAGTGATTCTCTCTGGCTTTGTCCTATCCTAAACATATTACATATCATTTCTATCGATTTCATAGTACTGAATTTGCATAAAAAGGATTTGGAATTTGTACTGAATAAAGAGCCGTGTCACATATTGATTTTGAATTATCCTAATTCTCTCACCAAGCTAAACTCTGATTTCTGGGGTTCCAAATCTGTTTTATGTTAACTATAACCAACTGAACAATATTCACAAACCAGAAATATTTAAGTGTTTTTAACAATTTACAGCACTTTTAACTTGGTTGCTATCTCATGGGCCCTGTGATCAACTGAGTCTTCTGGTTGTCTCTATCAGCCTATTAATATTTTGATTCCTTTTCTAAAGCTCTGTTTCTATCTTTTGAATCATTTTCTTTCTTATAAAAAATTATATTTATTTAAGCTTTCAAATAGTTTTGTAAAAACCATTTTCAAAAGTACATGAACTTTATCTGGAAGCTATCTTTAATGAATTTTTAATTTTAAAAAATTGTTTAAGTCTTGTGTGCAGTAAATCTTGTTCTTAGTTTTAGTAATATCCACTTCTGTCCCTAGGGTGAAAAAAGTTCTAACAAAGAATCATAATGGAAAATATCACGTCTGTGCAAAAGCTGTAATATGTTAAACAGATGGCTTGGATTTCACTTTTCTATCCTCAGCTGAGTAGAAAAAGAGAATACGTTTTCTTTGGAAATGCACTTTAACAATATTTTAAGATGTTTTCTTAAATGTTAATGTGATCTGACCCAACTCCCCAAGCACAACAAACCCTCTGAAGTAAACTCAAAAGATTCCTTTATTAGGAGTGCCGGCAGCCCTGGCAAAAAAGTTTCTCTCAGGTTAACAAGTCTGTCCGACCGGAAGATGAATAGTTGCCTGCCACATCTATTCATCTCTGCCCCCTGCCTTTTATCCCCAGAGCTAGGGTGGGGCTTCACTAGCAGCAGTGGCTCTTCCTTCCCCAGGATCAGCCCACAGATTTCCACTGCTCTCCTCTTCTCTGCCTTCTGTGCAGCTGCACATCAGGCACTGGACCCAGCTGTTCCTCTTCTTCATCAACCACCTCCAGACCTGGGGGCTGTTGACTCTCCATCTGAGGGCTGACAGATGGCCCAGGCTCCGCGTCTGTCTCTCTCTCTCTGCCAGCTCCATTCCCTCTTCCCCCTCCGAACTCTCAGGTTGCCTTGATGCTGACCCTGACTCCCATGCCTCCTCTAATTTGGCTGCTGGAGGAGCCGGCGGCCAACAGGCCACAACATAATGGATGTTTATAATTTCCAGAATGTAATGAAATTTTCAAACCATACCTTCATTCCAGAACCCCCACCACATACAATTTGCAGTATGTGCCAATTACTGATAGATAATAGTCAATAAATTACACAATAAAGGTAATCCCTGACTGTTGTTTCATTTAGTTACAATGGCACTGACAAAAGTGACTAATGACCATTTTTCACACTTGCGATCATTGCAGCATCCCCATGGTCACATGATCAAAATTGAGATACCTGGCAACTGACTCATACTTATGACGGTTGCAGTGTTCTGAGCTCATGTGATCACCTTGCGACCTTCTGACAAGCAAAGTCTATGCGGAAGCCAGATTCATTAACAACCATGTTACTAACTTAATATCTGCAGTGATTCACTTAACAACTGGGGCAAGAAAAGTCATAAAATGTGGCAAGACTCACTTAACAAATGTCTCACTTACCAACAGAAAATTCTGGGCTCAATTGTGGTTGTAAGTCGAGGACTACTTATATACTGTCTCTAACAGCATTAAAATGTGTATTTTACATAGAAGACTCAGTCAACTCCCTTGAATGAGCTCAATCCTGGTAACTACTGGTATTCAGATTACTCCAGAAATAATTTCTTTTTTTTTTCATTTCTCTGGTATCAAATGAAGCTTCTTAAAGTAATATATTTATATAAAATAGTTTATGATTATTCTTATCAATACATACTCTGTTTCCCTGAAAATAAGACATCCCCTGATAATAAGCCCAATGGGACTTTTGAGCACATGCCCTAAAATAAGCCCCCCCTGAAAATAAGCCCTCTGTGAAAATATTTAAACACATGCACAGCCAGTCCCCGCCATTTCTTCTGGTTTCCTCCACGTGCCCTAAAATAATAAGACCTCCCCGAAAATAAGGCCAAGCACTTATTTTGGGGTTCAAAAAAATATAAGACAGGGGAAACATGGTAGATACTTTTTTTGGAAATATCTTTATCAGTTATTGACTTGTGCTTTCACAAAAAATTATTCTTGTACCATATTAATCAGAAAATTTTCAGCTAATTTAATGACATTAAGCAGTAGTTAAGGATTCATGTTATTTTAAAGACTTTTCTGTTTTTTAATATAAAATACAAATACAATATTGAGAATAGTTCATAACATTCCATCTCCTTTTCTTTTTACTGTTATAGAAATAACATATACAGTATTATACTGATCAAATATACCACCTGATAACTTCTTCATAGCTTCTCGCTGATTGAATTGGCCAAGCGGGACCGACCATATGGAAAAGCAATTATTATTAATGGCTTGCAGGAATGATACATGTTTTCTTGCTTTTTTAAAAAAAGGGCAGGGAGACTGTTTATCTCTAGCTGTGGTTCAAGCAGACATCCATGCGCTCAATGCTCATAGATTTTCTTGCACTTGCACAGACCACTGTGGGAATGTTCTAAAGTGGAGCTTATTGCCAGATTCCACAGTTGTTGTCCATTAAATATAGTCAAAAGCCATTAAGTTTTATCTCTGTTCTTTGAACTAATACAGACATAAAATCTGTAGGTCACACTGAGGCCAAGGTGAGTTATCTGAATAAAGGCAGTTCAAAGAACCACGCTTACAGGTAAACAACCTGTCTTCCTCTTTCGCGTCTCCTTGCATTACGCATATAAGTAAACAGCAAATAATAGTCATTGAAAGTGAGGCAGGCTTTTATTACCGGAGCTGATGTCAGTGGGTGGCTTTTGAAAAACATGTGATTTTATGTTATAATTTTCCACTTAATATAATTTTCCAATAATGTCTAATCCTGGCAAGGTATCATGTTTCATCCCACAGCAGTGGCAGCTGATTGTGAAATGTGAGCTGAGAGGTAAGAAGAATGATGAGCAATCAGCATCAACAGTAAAAAGCTAACAAAGAAACAAAGCAGAGAAAAATGCTGCTATGTGTGTTCCACTTGAAGAAATGATGGAGAAGGAAAAATAAGTTTTTCCTGAGATTGAAAACTATCCAGAATATTTGTTTGCTATTTGAAGAAAGGTGGTAGTAATTTGCAGCAAATTATGTAATAGTGATTATACATTGAAAGAAGCCATACCAGAGGTATGTTTTGCTTTGGCATAATTCTGCAGAAGTTCATAGGATCCCTGTCTTGTCTCCCTTGTGTTTCCTTTACTTGCAAAGTCAGTTTATTAGCTAACCACAACAACCCAAAGCAGGAAATTAATAGAAAAAAGGCATGTCCCTGCAAAAAGGTTACTCATATGGAAAGAGGTAGCACAGAAGACTGGTGAGAGGGTAGAGTTTGAATCATGGTTTTCCTTTTGGGTAAAATTGGAAAATACAAACAGAATGGTGAAGAAAGCAGCTGAGTCCCATTGGTTGAACTGGTCCATTGTTTTCTTTTTTTCCTGCATCCCTCCATTATATACTGACTGAATGACAGGACTTTGCCATTGTTGGTGAGAACTTGACATCACAGAATGAAGAAAGGAATCTATTCTATCTCAGAAATGCTTGGAAATGCTTCTAACCAAATCTTGAACAGGCTTGGCATCTTGGTATGGTGAAGAACTGAGTACTACAAAACTATTGGGTCAACAACTGTAGCATGACATAGAAAACAGGCAAGATGCCCTATTATTGGGCCCACGTGAGGAATCTGCACCTTTATTATCTTTATTAAGAATTATGGTGAGGAGAGCAAGTGGTAAAGGACTCCACATCTCTGAGTATTAATATTGACAATTGGGGGGGGAGACCAATTGCTTATTGCTAGCGTTATTTCAGTTGCAAACAATATTTTTGCTGATTTCCAAGAACAAAAACACAAAACAGAGAAAGGAACTGAAACTATTGACACTTACCATTTCCTGAGATGCATATTTCGGATCTTCAGGATCAATTGACCAGTAGCAGTAATCAAAACCAAATGACACAACTTTTTCCCTTGTGCCCCAAACACTTTCGAACCTGTTGTCTACCTGAATTTAAAACAAGAAACAAAAGATGGTCCCACTTTCATAAATCTGTACCTTCAAGATTTATTATAAAATAGTGGTTTATGAAGAGTATATTTTTTATAACCCCAAAGAATGTATACGTGGAAAAATGTACATCAAGTCCTAAATCTTCATTAATGTTAAAAAAAATTGTATATATCAACTGGTAAAATTATTTTGCAATTTTAAAGCATACAGTGCAATACTCAACATGCTTCTCAAAGGCTGACATGGCCCTTTGCATGATGAAAAGCTATTACCTAAGCTACTGTTCCAACTTGTATTACATATTCTTATAAACTTTTTTCAAGAAAGACAAAAGCCATTACAGTAATTGACTACAAGCAGGAGGTGGCAGTGATGTCTAATTTCTATTTTTAGGCTTCCTCTATGGAAGGGAAACTGGCCTGCCCTGATTTAATAGGGCGATTACTGTGATCACTTTTATTATATTTGTTGGAAGAAGGAAAAAAAAACAGTGCTTTTATTCAGCCAGTCATTTCATTTCAGTGACTGACTATCAAAACAATAGAGCCACAATTGATTTAGAGTAAAACAAGCTATAAAACCATATAATAACACAAATAAAATTGTAATTTAAAATTTAAGAGTTTGGGCATAGAAATTAATATAGTAAAGTATAATACAATTTATATAAGGCAACCAAATGATTGTTGGTTGCCTTATGAATAACAGAATAGTAAAATCATCAGTGAAATACATAGAACCATTATAAGTTGTAATTATCATTGTATCTAGAGAAAATGTAATGATGGAATGTACAGGAAAGAATACTACATAAGAAGTTGTTATGGTTTCAAAATTAAAAGAACTAAAAGAACTAGTGTCTAATTATAATGACTATCTGTATTGTTAAAATGGCTCTGGTAGCTAATAATGAAAATAAGACAGAAATAAAACTCAACTGATGGTAAGGACATAATACAGTATTATAAAGTAGTGATTAAATGGACAGCTGCATTTGAAAAGTTTCCAAATCGAAAATACCAAGGAGTTGTTTAAAAAAAAATTATGATATACAATTTGTACAACAAACTATGAAATAGTATTTGGCTGCAAGCATCAAAGTAGAACTAGACTGAGTTGATAGTAACAAATTGAAGTAGAAGAATTTGGTGTGACCAGATGATGAGTGGAAATAGCATTTCCTAGAGAGCATCAGCATAGAAGGAGCAGTACAATGTAACACGATCCAGTGTTTCAGCTGCACCTCCACTTCATGAGTACAATCTCTGCTCAAAAGGGAGGTTCTGGTATCTTGCACACACACCTCCATGACTGCTGATGGAAAAGCATTGAGTCTAATCAAAGACAAAGCCCTCTTAAATTTAGGGGTTGTTATGCTACTGAGATATCTGGCTGGGTGAAATAAATGTACAGAATGGGCAAGGGTGACAAATCTGATTATAGCTCTAAGTTGATGTCACGTTGTTTAAGATCAGCTACTGTATGTACCGTACTTTTCGGAGTATAAGATGCACTTTTTCTCCCCCTAAAAGTGGGTGAAAATTGTGGTGCGTCTCATACGCCGAATGTTGCCGAAGCCCCACCCACTCACCGGCCCCAACCCTTTGGCTGTTTTCGGGCTCCGCGCATTGCATTTTTGGTCTCCATGTGTCACATTTTTGGCCGGTTCCAGGTGACGGGGATTGGCAGCGGCGAATGGGCTGCGGCGAACGGGCCATGACAGCGGTGAATGGGTGGCAGTGAATGGACTGCAGTGGCGGTGAACAGTCCGTGGCAAATGGGCTGTGGCAAATGGGCCGTGCAGGTGGCAAATGGGCCACACCGAACGGACTACGGCGGCGGTGAATATGCCGCAGTGAACAGGCCGTGTCAAATGGGCCACAGCAGCAGTGAACAGGCCACAGCAAATGGGCTGCACCAAACGGGCCGTACCAAATGGGCCACGGTGGCGGTGAACAGGGCACAGCAAATGGGCTGCACCAAACGGGCCGTGCCAAATGGGCCACGGTGGCAGCAAACAGATGGAGAATGGATGATGACAAATGGGCTGTGGTGAACAGGCCGCAGCAGTGGCAAACGGGCCATGGCAAATGGGCCGTGGCAAATGGGCCGCGGTGGCGGCAAAACGGGTGGTGGCGAATGGGCAAAGGCAGATTTTTTTCTTTTCTTGTTTTCCTCCCCCAAAAAGGTAGGTGTGTCTTATACTCCGGTGCATTTTATAGTCCGAAAAATACGGTATGTAGCCCATAAGGATGATGACTGCCTATGAGAAACAGTACGATTTTAATTTTTTTATGGATTGTCCAGTGCTGGAAGCTGTCAGATGTAATTAAAGGGGCCAAGCTAGTTGGAAAAAAATAAGCCAACTCCAGTTCAAGAGGATACAATCCAGGAAGAAGTTTCTATTTTGGACTTTTGCTGGATTCATGGCAAAACACCACGTTTGGAACATAGCAGCATACTTGGAAGATAAACCTCAAGAACTTAGATTGAACTCTTTCAAGGGAAAAAAATGAGCTACAAGAACCCAAAAGGATGCCAAAGAGGAGCTGAATTTGGATCTTGGACAAGAAAACTTCGAGCACTGCATGTATATGCTAGGCTCCTATAAATATTGTAGAGCTGAAACTATTTTCTGACGTTGTTGGCATGGGGTAATTCTTTTAGTAGAATGTGAGTATTATGAGGCTAGATTCTCCCAGTCAAAGAAACCAATTATAATATCAAGGATTATTTGTGAATAATAAATTGCATGCATTTTAATAGCTGCCTATTGCTAAACTCCATAATAGCATGCTACACAAGCAAAGCTTCTAACAATCCTAAGAAACATGAAGATGCTATATTTTTAACAGCCACAATACAGACAGGAGATCTTGAGTTCTAGTCTTGTTTTAGGCACAAAGCCAGCTGGGTGGCCATGGGCCATTCACTTTCTCTCAGTCCTAGGAAGGACAAAATGGCAAACCACTTCCGAAAAAAATTGCCAAGAAAACTGCAAAGACTAATCCAGGCAGTTGCCAAGAGGCAGCACTGACTCAAAGGCACACATACAAACACACCTGCATGCAGACCGATATAACATTCTTGGCTCCCTCCCTTTAAGCTTGCTAACTAGGAAAGAAGAGAGAGGGAAAAAGGTTATTTCAAGATTGAAACTATATAATTGTCTTCATTAAGTTCTATTAGGTACAACTAATCTTCATATCTATAATGGGTTAATAGTCTAAAAATCATTTCAGGTTTACAGGGTTGCTATCAGCAGAATATGCATAACATCAGCTTCATTGGCAAAAAGTAATATTTCTAAGCAATATGCTATCCACTTCACAACCCACTGTAAGAAACAGGCAATTGATCTTCTGAACTTCCTAAAAAGACATGGAACATTATCTACTGTCCTCCTCCTAAAACGGGTGAACTAGCCCAACTCCGGAAAGAATATAAAACAAGGAAATTACTTATCTAGTTCTTTGATCTCTGCCAAACTGCTTCCTAAGATGCTTCAAACACTAATTATCTTAAGCAAATTGCCTAAAATAATCAGGCAGGCAAGCAGATACAAAGACCGAGCAAGAAATAGGAAGCATCTGTCCTGTAGAATTCCCACAGTAATCATGGTAACCCTATAATTCACTTATGTGTCTTCTGAATTGTAAGATATATTGCCAACAGAAACTGATTTTGGCCCATTTTACTTTTTGACTAAGAGAGTACAGTAGCATTCAGGAGTCCCAATGTCTGGAAAAAAACCAGCTCTGTTTCCCATGCCTATAAAGGAAGCCTTCAAGAATCTCCAAAAAGGAAAGGATGCAGTCTCTTATAGCTAGTCAGTCCACAAGGATGTTAGCTGCAATTCAATACACATTTTTGTTAAGTTTCCCAGAAAATAGCTGCTATCATATTAGACGACTATCAAAAGCAAGACAGGAAAAAGTTTTAAAAAACCCACCAATTCTGTATTTGCTTGTGTGCTTATGTTACTATCCTGAAAGAATAAAAGATTTCAGTACAGCTGAAATGCAAAATAATAGAGCAACTTTGGATATAAAAGGAGATCAATTTAGTATTTATTTTAAGGTTTCAAACATGTTTACTCCTTTTCTAAATGGAGCAGAGAAGGTCTGCCAATTTAAGCTTTTCTCACCCTCCACTTTTGCATTTCCTTCCTATTTTATTTTTGACTTCTACAGATTTTCCATACAATACACAATTTTTTTTAAAAAAAATGAAGTGACTCTATTACCTCCCTTCCCCCTCATTGTTATGTCTGACTTTGTCCAGACGGAGAATTAAAACTCTTTTAGCATTTTGTATTGAATTGTCTTTAGTTTTTTTTGGCACTGGTTTCTTTTCAGATTCTAATCAGTGCTCAAATTCAGCATTTGAATCTGCACGCTTTCTAAACAAAATATCACAAAATATTTACTACATTCTAGAATTAGTCTTTGAATTTTAAGCTTTTGTGAAAAATGCAGCTAGAGATTTCATAATCATTCTAAGGAATATCAGTTTAAGAAATAGTCACAGAATATCAAGAAGAAATAATGAAGGGGAAAAATATAGGAATTTCTATTTTTAGTTGCATTGCTGAAAATTACATTTCAGGGTGTTAAATGAGCACATTCTGGATTCTGTAGATAAGTCTGGAAAAAATAAAACTCGTATGCTTCTTTTCCAAGTAGACAGTTTATATATTATACTATATTCATATTTCCCCTTTCCTTCCAGAATTGTTAAATGACATGTGAGATATATTATTTTCTCACCCATAATCATCCTGAAATGCAGTGCAATGGCTCAGCAGTTAAGACACTGAGCTTGTTGGCTGGAAAGCTGCCAGTCTAGGTTCGAGACTTGAGCACTGGGCAATGGGGTGAGTTCCCGTTCTTGCCCCAGCTTCTGCCTATCTAACAGTTCAAAAGCATGCAAATGCGAGGAGATAAATAGATATCACTTCTGTGGGAAGGTAACAGCACTCTGTAACATCATGTTGGCCACATGACCGCAGAAACATCTTCAGGCAGTGCTGGCTCAACGGCCCTTGAAACAGAGATGAGCACTGCCCCCTATAGTCAGTAAAGACAAGCGAAGTAAAATCCGCAGGGACTCCTTTCTTTAATCCTTCTGCAAAGTATAAATTTGTGGCAGGCTCAGGTTCACTCAATGAGTTTCATCTAAGAATGGTGAGCTGAATCCACATGTTTCCACTCCAAGTGAAGTTACATCCAATTATGTCAGCCTAGTGATAAAATAGGGATAAATACTCCATGTCTCTCCGATAGTCTAGTAAAACTCAAAGCTTGCTCTGGAAGCTTAGGAAATACTTTGTATTTGATATGTAGAGATCCAAGGTGATAGAAAGCAAAGGAAGTACCATTGTATCGAGCAGTGATGGCTAACCTTTTTGCCATCGTGTGCCAAAAGCGGGGTGTGTGCAGGGGGGTCACACATGCGTGTGCCCACACCCATAATTAAATGCGCCCCCCACATGCGCGCGCGACCTCCCCACGCTCCCCCTGCTTTTGGCACACGATGGCATGGTGGGTCCGGTAGGCCCATTGTTCACCCTCCCCAGACTCCAGAGGCTCTCTTGGAGCCTGGGGAGGGCGAAAACGGCCTTAACCACCCCCACCCCCCAGAGGCCCTCTGGAGGCAGGAAACAACCCATTTCCAAACTTCCGATAGATCCGGAAGGCCCGAAAATCAGCTGACCGGTACACACATGTGCGCTGGAGCTGAGCAAGAGCAATGCTCACGTGCCACAGATATGGCTCTGGGTGCCCCCTGTGGCACGCATGCCATAGATTCACCATCATGGGTATAGAGTCTACCTCTATACCGAACAATATTCTTTCATCCCTACAACACTGATTATATTTGAACAATCATCATGTAGTTATTATATTTTGCCAGGCATAGTAAACTTACCTTTACTTTTTTTACTGTTGCCACTCTATCTTCAATTTCTACAATTATTGCTCTTCCTTCTGCATGCTCTCTGTAAATATGAGAACAAACAACAATTAAGGCATAAGGGTTTTTTTTAAATTAAAAGCCAAATATGGCAACTTTAAAATCTCATTTAGCGGAACAGCACTTGAAAGTACTTGTGGGTTCTTTCCAAACGTTTCTGCATGTTACAATGTAAGCATCAAAAGTAGCTAGTTTAAAAAGGACAGAGTCATCAAACTGACTAACCCTGTTTGTTAGTTCAGTTGGACCAATCCACAGTCTAAGCATACAACTAACACTTAAACAATAATAACAGGTGACTGTATGTCATAGGTCAGCCCAGTATCTATGAACCACTTCAGGCTGGTAGAGGCACAGTGGCACACCCCTTCCCTTGGGATGCCGGGCATTTTCCTCTGCCACTGTTCATGTTGGCTTCCTTCCAGCAGAAAGAGCTCACCGCTCTACACTCCCCAGTGGCTGGATGGGTTGCACCAATGGCAGTAAAGGATACACCAGACGTCTATTTGCAGTCATTTTAAAACAAGGCATTTTGCAAAGAGAAACTGTGCCTTATACTCCCCATCCTGAGGGCCAGTTTGGTGTAGGGTTGGAAGGCTAAAACTGGAGAGATTGGGGGCTCTGATCCTATTTTAGCTACAAAGCCAGATGGGTAATTCGGGGCTAGTCACTCTCTCTAGGTCCTAGGACAGTGATGGCTAATCTTTTTGCCATCGCGTGCCAAAAGCAGAGGGGAGCATGGGGGGGTCGCGTGCACATGTGCCCACACCCATAATTCAATGCGCCCCGCCCCCCATGCATGCACGTGTGACCCCCCTGTGCGACCCCACTTTTGGCAGGTGATGGCATGGTGGGCCCGGTAGGCCCATTTTTTGCCCTCCCCAGGCTCCAGAGGCTTTCTAGGAGCCTGGGGAGGGCGAAAACAGCCTTCCCCACTCCCCCGGAGGCCCTCTGGAGGCCAGAAACACTTGTTTCCTGACTTCCAGTGGGCCTGAAAGGCCCAAAAGTCAGCTGGCCAGCGCACGCATGTGGGCTGGAGCTGAGCTAGGGCAATGCTCACGTGCCCACAGATATGGCTCCGCGTGCCACCTGTGGCACGCGTGCCATAGGTTCGCTATCACAGTCCTAGGAGGAAGACATGGCAAGTGGCTTCCAAAAATGCTGCCAGGAAAACTCTAGGAAGCAGTTCTGTTAACCAAGCAGTTCTTAGGAATCAAGACTGACTTGAAGACAAAACATATATCCTCATTAACCTATTTTGAATCCTTCAGAGATGGGAAAGACACTGAAGAAACACCAAAGAAGAAGAAAGCAGTTCCAAGAGACATGACAAGTGAGTGCTGTCATATCTCTCTGTCGCAGCAGCTGACTCCAAGCTGAAGAGAAGACAGGTAAAGGAACTTCTTCTCCCTTACCCTTCATCTACTCTTCCACACAAAACGCTAACATAAATCCAGGAGCGAGTTTTGACACGTCGCTTGACCCCTGCTTGTCAAATCCTTGCTCTTCCTCAACTCTTATTATGGAGGATTACTGGTGGGTGCAGACATCTAAGTAGAGGGTAGGGAAATAAAATCATAGGAATCTGCCAATCCCCTGTCTGCAATATGCCCTTCACGTAACCAGTAATGAGGAAGCCAATTTTATACAGCAGCAGGACTCACTCTTAATAAACCCTAAGACTAAGAAAAAAACTCCATCCTTCATTTACCTTCATCAATTTACATTTTTAAAAGTTTCTTAAAATCCTTTTGGGCCTGGATAAAGTGGTCAGGATTGTGAGCTTGGCCACCTGTTTATTAGAGCTATGTGCCTCTTGCTTGGCAAAGCCTCCCTGGGAGGTGACAATTTTATACCTTGGTAGTACAGGGGCTTAAGGCACCGTGTTATTAAGCTTGTTAAGACCAGCTGCCTGCAATTACTGCAGGGTTCGAATCTCGCCAAGGCTCAAGGTTGACTCAGCCTTCCATCCTTTCTAAGGTAGGTGAAATGAGGACCCAGTTTGTGGGGGCAATAAGCTGACTTTGTATAAATATACAAAAGGATGAAGGCTATTGCTGAGCACATTGTAAGCCGCCCTGAGTCTTCGGAGAAGGGCGGCATATAAATCAAATTAAAAAAAAAAAAGTGGTTGGGTTTTGATGGTGGTGAACTCTTCCCTTGAGAGAGAAGGTTGTCCCTTTATTTCTTGAGGAGGAGTTGGGTAGCACCTCTCCTAAAAAAAAACCATCACTACACCTAACCATACTGGGCAATATTCATTCAGTATTCAACTTTTCCTTTTTGGGGGAAGGTTGTTGAGAAGGTGGTCACCAAGAGTTTTAGAGAATCCTGGGAAAAGCAGATTATGTGGACTATGTTCAGTCTAGTTTCAAACCTGGGCAAGGTACTGAACCAGAATTGATTGTGCTTTGGATGACCTCTGGTGTGAACAGTGGGGGGGGGGGAAGTACATAGAATAGACCCTTGCTTTTTCTTGATGGCTTTCAATATAATCAATCATTGTATTCTCCTACATCAACTGTAGGGGTTGTGTGTGGGTAGCAATGTACCGTTCTCCTCCTTCCTCTGGTGCAAATTCCAGTTGGTGTTAACCAGGAGTGAGAATTTCTGCCCTTGGACGTGGTTTCCACAGTTCCACAAGGATTGGTATTCTTTCCACTCCTGTTTAACATCTATGTGAAGTTGATGGGTAAGATCATCCATTGCCATGGGTGGAGTATCACCGCTGCTTCTGGCAAATTTTGTGATGCTTTTAACAGTGTTTGGAAGCTATGGGAGTTGAATAGGGAACCAAAGATTAAATTCTATCAAGACTGAGTGGCTCTGGGTCTCGAGACCTTTGGGTTCTCAAAACTTACCATCTTTGGTACTAAATGGGATGTCACTACCCAAATTAGATCTCTGTGCAATTTAGAGGTCCCTCTGGACTTATCACTTTTGTTTGAATATCAGATGGCAGTCTTGGCCAGGAAGGTCTTTGCAAAACTTTGTGTTCTATGTCAGTTCCATCCATTTGTTGGATCAGTGAGCATTCAGTCACCTACACTCTGATTATCTCCCAAATGGATTATTGTAATCTTCTAGGTGAGGTTTTCCTTGAACAGCATATGAAAACTGCAGCTTGTGCAAAATAAAGCAGCTTTGACAGTTATGTGCACTCCTCAATTAATGCATCTTGAATCTCTGTTCCACAAGCTCCGTTAGTTGCCAGTTTACTTCTGGATTCAACTCAAGGTGGTGGTAATGACCTATTAAGCCCTATGTGCCATGGGGTTGAATTATTAGAGGAAGCGCCTCTTCCCAGTTATATCTACCCACTGCGTCAGGTCCAGCACAAGAGGCATTTAGCAAGTCCCATCTATTAAAAGGAGTGCCATCTGGCAAGACCCAAATGCCACACTGATAAATGAATACTAGGCTTTGTGTATGCATGAAAATGTTCACATTTTTAAACAAATCAAAGTTGGGTCAGACTATTACAAACCCTGGGGTTCCCCTAATCATAATTCATGAAAGCAGAACCAGTAAGGCATTTTGAAAAAGATGCAGAGGGCATGGCTCACATCATCACAGACCGATAGATAGATAGATAGATAGATAGATAGATAGATAGATAGATAGATAGATGGATGGATGGATGGATGGATGGATGGATGGATGAATGGATGGATGGACGGACGGACGAACCTTTATTGTTACTTTTTTGTGGCACAAATTAAAAAATGAAATTATGATGTCCATTCTCAAAAGAAATATATATACATATACATACACACACATGCACATACATATACATATATGTAATATATATACACACAATCATACATATATATATTAATCACAGACCATTTAGAATACATAGCGGAAAAAGAGTTTTGAGAGTTAACAAGGTTGATACTATATGGTATAAAGCTATTACAGAATGTAGTTGTTCTGCTTCGGATACTGGGAAGCCTCCTCCCAGAAAGTAACAAAGAAAATCAGCCATAGAGAGGATATGTCGCATCCAGCAGTGGGTTTCCAATATTCTTACCACCGGTTTGCCCCGTGCGCACATGCTCGCTTCATGTGTATGCCTTCCGTGCATGTGCCCGGCGTTCTGTGCATGCGTCCTTCCACGCATGCGCCCAACCTCAAAAACATGCCTAAATAGTATAGCATAGTGCCGGGGCAGGTGGGCGGTTTCCACTACCGGACAGGCCCACCCACGATTTCCGCTACCGGTTCACCTGAACCAGTACGAAGTGGCTGAATACCACCTCTGGTAGGGTCCCAGGCAATACTGCGGACCCCGATCAAGCATCCTTTATATGCTATGTGCTGGATAGAAGAAAGTGAACTTTCAATAATCTTTACTGCCGTCCAATGTTCTGTGTACACTGTACACAGCCATTTCATCATTCTTACTAATACATCCTATTTTCACAGGATGAAAATAGTCAACCCCACATACAGTAACAATAATAATAGTTGAAGTTTCAGAGATTTGGCCTAAAGATTCAAGCTGCATTATTGCAGGCAACAAAAAAGACATGTCTGTTTGTCTGTCGCCTGGAATCAAATCCTTAAATCTCTTAAATCTACTTTCTCCCACCCTTTCAAGCCAAAAGACCTTTTACTGTTCTTTTCCCAGCCCTAAGAGTCAGAAATATCTCTTTAATGTTTTCATCTAATCTGGAAATTGTCGATTCCTCTTTACTAGCTTCAATCTTTATATGTTCACACAAACCGACATATAAACCATAGTTTACAGAAAAATACCAGATAGTTCACTTAGCCTGCCCAGGCACAAATTATGGCTGGGTTCACATAACAACCTAAGTTGCGGCTTGTTTTAGTGTCTTCTGTGAATCTTCCATCAAGGTTTATAAAACATATAATCCATTTTCAATGTGCTGTAGGGACCAAGCCAACTATAATTTAGTCAGTAAACCAGAAATAAGCAATTCATTGTTTTTCAAACTTGGCAGCTGTCAGATGTGTGGACTTTGATTCCCAGAATTCCCCAACTAGAGTGGTGTAAACACTTACATGAGCACAGCTGGAGATGTAGGACGTTTCTCTCTCTCTCTCTCTCTAAAGAAGCTTCAAGCTATTCTTTTATTTGTATTTGTTTATTCTCCTTATGAAAGCCTAAGGCAATACATGCAATAACTGAAAGTAGTGCTTAGAAAGTTGCACTGCTGAAATTCTGCACATATAAATCAACAAAAATAAGTATTTTAAGATGTTTCTTTGTTTCTGCCAATTAAAGCTTAACTGCCTTAGAATGTCAACATAAGACTGCAAGGCTGAGAGACTATCTTGCCTATAACAGTGGAAAGTTATTTATAATGGCCAAATGTCAGAAAACATGATGTAGCCATTGAGCTGCACCCAAAACAAAGACCTGACAGTACACAGACTGCATCTGTTTCACTTTTTTATTATTCCCTCTCTTCTCCAGAGGAGGGATTATTTGTCACACAGATTTTGTACAACTCCAAAGTTTTCTTTCTTCTATCCTCCCCCAAACTCCAAAATACACATGCTCTTAATTATTTTATTATACACACATGTTCATGCAGCGAGTATAACCAATAGTTATGGGAGCTGAATTTGCAGTACTGTAATTCTGTAAATCAAAATTATTGTTCAGTAATAGATAAGCATCAAGCTTGAGGATATGTGGAATTACTTAATAATGAAGCTCAAGCCACAAAGCAGGGAAAAATGATCAGGTAGGAAAATTATAGAGGGTTAAATGACTCATTGTAAGGTAAACCTCAAATTAGCTAGAGTTTAAATTGAAAAATAAGATCTTTCATTACTAAATAAAAGAAACAGATGAGATAATTCACTCTAGTACTGAATCTGTTCAGAAGTGAGTGCTAGAACAAAGGATTCTGACATTGTTCAGGCTATATGGAAAAAAGACTAGTTGCTTTTTGAATACTTTGACAGTAACAAAGTCTAGATAAGTACTGTACAGGTAGTCCTTGACTTACGTCCACAATTGAACCCAACATTTATGTTGCTCAGTGAGACAGTTAAGTGATTTTTCCCCCATTTTACAATCTTTCTTCATAGTTAAGTGAATCACTGCAGTTGTTACGTTAGTAACAAGGTTGTTAAGTGAACTTTGCTGCCCCATTGACTTTGCTTGTCAGAGGGTCGGAAAAAGTGATCACATGAATGGGACACCGCAACAGTCATAAATATGAGTCAGTTGCCAAGCATCTGAATTTTGATCACATGACCATGGGGATGCTGCAACGGTTGTAAGTGTGAAAACCGGTCATAAGTCACTTTTTTCAATGCCGTTGTAACTTTGAACGGTTACTAAATGAACTGTTGTAAGCCAAGGTCTATCTGTATTCAAAAATAAGGCCAGTACTTATAAAAGCATGGTACTCAGTGACATAAAATAATTAGCAACAAAAATGTACTGAATAGGGCAGAGATGACTGGGAAGCTGATGAGTAGCACCCAGTTTCAAACTGACACATGTGACCCATTTCACAAAACATTCATTCAAGCAAAGGAAGATGGAAGAATCACATTTTTCTCATTTTTTTAAAAATGGAAATACAGTCTTTAAGGATCTGGATCTTCACAAATAACAAGAAGGATATTTATTGTGTCCATAAACTGTAACTTGGAAAGATTTTTCATATCTTCCTTCGAAATACATCTAAATTAGTTTAGCCTGAAATCATAATTAATAATCCTGATTTCAATGACAAATCCCCCAAGGAGGATATGATTGCTTTCACATAATACATTGATAGTTAATTCAATCATGGTTTACTGTAGCCAAAAAGAGCCTTGGTAGTACAGTGGTCTAAGGCACCCTGTTATTAAGCTGGTTATTAAGACCAGCTGCCTGCAATTACTGCAGGTTCGAATCTCGCCAAGGCTCAAGATTGACTCAGCCTTCCATCCTTTCTAAGGTAGGTAAATTGAGGACCCAGTTGTGGGGGCAATAAGCTGACTTTGTATAAATATACAAAAGGATGAAGGCTACTGCTTAGCGCATTGTAAGCCGCCCTGAGTCTCCTGAGAAGGGCGGCATATAAATCAAATAAAAAAAAAATAACCCAATTTTCTGGGTTCTCCCAACCCATTTGACCACTAATCACACAGATTGAGTTTACACACAGCACTCATTTGATTCAGGATACCATAAACATAGTTAAAAAGTATTCCATATAAACGAAGCATCGGTTACACATCTTCAACAATTTTTGGGGGGAGGGATATATTCAATATTACTAGAAAGCAGCTGCAGAAAGTGCCTTGCATTTTTTTTAAAAGTAGCGAAAGAAGAGAATATTTGTAGCTCAGGGTTGAACATGAAGTTCTGCTTAGCTCTTACAGCCTTTGCACGTTTTCCTAACCAAAAGCAGGCTTGCCTTGTTTGGTCACGCCGTGTAGTGTAATTAATTCCCTCTTCTGCACGCTACACTTTAGGGACAGTCCCGACCTCCTTGCAATCCAGCACGACTCTCCTCACTTCTCACGTTCCCCAAAGAGGAGCAAAACGCGCGGGCAACCACTTTCATATCAACACAAACACACACTTCGTGGAAGGAGCGCAAGTCAAGCCTAGCAAACCTCCGCTAACTAAAGCTCGGAGGAGAAAAGGGCGCAGCTGCGCAGAGCACGCGAGCGGAGCTTTTCTCACTTGGGCAAGCACGTGTGGACGCGAGTCCACGCGTTCGAGGCTTCCCCCTTTCAGCTCCTCAGCCGCTGCCTCACCTTTTGCTGAGGGGCCGGACTCGCACAGCTACTTTGACGTTCGCCATGACCTCTCGGACCCCGGGGAGAAACGGCGCCGTTTTGGCCGTCCGAGTCCCGGCTCCACATCACCCCGTTTGCTCCTCAGCCGCTGCTCAAGCGCTCCACCAAGAGCACCCCCGTCGGCGAGGGAAGCAGCGCTGCCGCCCGACCCCGCCCGGCCGTTCTTTGGGGGACGTGGGGCGGAGGGGAGGGAGGGAAAGGCCTGCCCGCTTGGCGAGAGCAGAGGAAATGGGGAGGGGCGCCTTGGGCTGCTTGCGCCACAGGCTCTCCTCGGCTCCGGCTCCTTTCGGGTGGGCGACGAAGCGGCCCGTTTCAAGCGCTGAAACCGAGGAGGAAACGCCGGGGCGGTTTTCCCCGGAGCGGAATGTCTGCAGTTTTGGGGCTCTTGATCTCATGACCCATCCTGGAAAAAGAACAAAAACAACGCGATGAGCCCGATTTGAGTGTCGTGGGCTCGCTCAGAGGATACTCCAAAGACAGAACCGCGTTGAGGCTACAACATGGTCGATTTATATGTGGACGCGGACCAACAATTGACCGAGATAATTTTTTTTTAATTATTTTTTTTTTAATTTTGATTTATATGCCGCCCTTCTCCGGAGACTCAGGGCGGCTTACAATGCGTTAAGCAATAGCCTTCATCCTTTTGTATATTTTATACAAAGTTAGCTTATTGCCCCAACAAACTGGGTCCTCAATTTACCTACCTTAGAAAGGATGGAAGGCTGAGTCAACCTTGAGCCTGGTAAGATTCGAACCTGCAGTAATTGCAGGCAGCTGTGTTAATAACAGGGTGCTTTAAACCACTGTACTACCAAGGCTCATAATAACAAAGGGGGGACGGACAAGCAGTTGACCGGTCGTTTGGGCAGCGAAGTAGGAAGTCCCTTGGCTTATGTTCGCTTTACAAAGACTTCTAAAGGACGGCGAACATACAGGTAGTCCTCGACTTACAACAGCTCATGTAGTGACCGTTCAAAGTTGCGACGGCACTGAATAAAGTCACTTATGACCATTTTTCACACTTACAACCTTTGTACCATCTCCGTGCTGCTGTGATCAAAATACAGATGCTTGGGAACTGGTTCATACTTATGACCCTGGCTGTGTCCCAGGCAGTGGTGGGTTGCTCCCAGTTCGCACTGGTTCTACAGAACCGGTAGTAAAACCAACGGGAGGCTCCGCCCACTGACCCTGATGTCATCAGAATGCTTCTGCGCATGCACAGAAGCTTCTGCATGCGCGGCCCCGTTGCGAACCGGTAGTAAAGGTAAGTAGAACCCACCTCTGGTCCAAGGGTCACGTGATCCCCTTTTACAACCTTTTGACAAGCAAAATCAATGGGGAAACCTAATTCGCTTTAACAACCATGTTACTAACTTATCAACTGCAGTGATTCACTTAACAACCATGGCAAGAAAGGTCATAAAATGGGGCAAAGCTCACTGAACAAATGTCGCACTTAACAACAGAAATGTTGGGCTCAATTGTGGTCGTAAGTCGAGGACTAGCTGTATACAGTTTGCCTTGCTATCAGATCGAGTACCTGAGACATAGCTAACTTGTAAGGATGCGAGCGAGCATCAGAGTTTGCATAGCTCGCAAAGTTATAATGAGGTTTGCTGGGTTTGGGCACAGAAATACAATTCAACAGCACATTAACATTTAGTTCTGTTGTAACTATGAAAAACTAGGTTAAAATCATAACTGATAAATGTACCTTCAAATATATTGCGTCTACAATATTAATGAATAGGTCTATCTTTTTTGAACATCCACTAAGGTGCTCAATAAACCTAATTTTGTTTGCCTTTTAAGTAGACAATATATCTAAGGATTGCATGGGATGTTTCCCACCCTTATAAAAGGCTTGTCCCTTTCCCCCAATCTCTCTAACTGCTATAAATAGTCCTAAATTAAGGACCATTTGTTCAGTGATGGTTCAAAGTTAAGGTTGGTGTGGAATGAAATGTACTTATGCCTGGTTGCAGCAGCTCAGCAGTCATGTGATCAAAACTGAGAAAAAAACTAGTGTAGATCATCTATGGAGGGCAGCAGCAGCAGTGTGCAGGAAGTCAAAATGAGAGGTGAGGGATGGAGATTGGCAGGTAGAGGTTCTCTTGGACGCTTTAACTCCTGCTCAAAGAGCAGGTGGCAATTGTGATTAGGAGAGCCTTTGCACAAGGTTGTGTAATGCACCAGTTACATCCTTTTCTGGATTGGAAGTCCCTGCAGTCACTCAAGCCCAGGACATCTTAAACTTGGACTATTGCAATGGGCTCTACATGGGGCTACCCTTGAGTATTTGGAAGCATTAGTTGGCACAAATGCAGTTGCACTGATATGCATTCTGGGTGGCCCATGTTAACACCGCTATTCCACAAGCACTGGTTATCAGTTTCCTTCGGAGTCCCATTCTGTTGTGACCCAGGCCCAAGTAGGTATTATCAGACACAATCAGTTTGAAAACAAACACTTTATTAGAACAGCTAAGAATTAACTCATTCTCAGTGTAGTCCAAACTAATTCAAAACAAATTCTTCATAACACAATTCTTCAGCCTTATTACCAACCTTGGTCTAATTAGGAAACCTGCCAAAGGCTTTTCTTGGCAAAAGTTCAGAAGCTGAAGACAAATGCAAATCTATCAACGTTGTTTTCCTACAAAGAACCCAAGAGCCATTGCTGGTCTTTTAAGCCTTATGGGAGGGGCCAATCATCTCTTGGCCTTACTCCCGAGTTGTCCTTTTTGCTTTAGCTGCTCTTGCCTTTTGGCAGCTCTTCTCATGTGTGCACTAGGAACAGGCTCCTCCTGTTCCTCTGCCTCTCTGCCGTCAGTGTCTGGAGGCTCCGGACTCCGCACATCACTCCCAGATGGCCCTGGCCCCATCTCTGTCTCTGACGCAAAGCCTTCATCTGGGCCTTCTCCAGCCTCCAGGACTGGCCCTTGTTCTTCCTCAGCCTCCTCACTGTCCAACTCCGCAGGCTGCTGGCAGACCACAACACATTCAAGGAGTTTGTTCTTAATCTTTAAAGGCATAGGTCCAGGTTATGTGAGGAACCATCTCACCCTGATGGGATTAGCCCATCTCACCCATGCTGGCAGAAGAGGCATGCTGCAGACCCCTTATTGGTCAAGGAATGGCCCAAGAGAAGACCCTTTTCTACTGGGACTTCTGCCCTTTGATACTTCATGCTCGCCCCCCCCACCCCCCTCAGTTGAGATATACAGCAACAGGCATGAAGACTTGGCTTTACCAATTAGCCTGGGCACTAATGGGGAACTGGCATCTTGGAAACAGTTAACGGACTATGATAAGACCCCACCTCCTCCCCATGTACATCTTGCTCCCTTCCCCATTTTTATCAATTTTAAATCAAATTTAAAATTACTATTTTAATATACTGATGTTTTATTGAGTGTAAGTCATCTAGTGTTGCCTTTAGGAGAGATGGATGGCATGTAAGTTTGATAGACAGACAGACCGACTGACCGACTTTGTCATGCTAGTATTCAGGATCCCTGAAGGAAGATTTCATTTAATTGACAAGGACCAATAACTTTTCTAATTGATCTGGAACTCAAAAGCAGAATCCAACTCTTCAAAAAATGAAGGGGTGGGGGACAGTGGGTAAGTATTTCACACCTCCTATATATGTTAGAAGATGCCAAGAACATTCCGCACTATGAAATTATTTTGATACTCCTCCATCTGTTCTAATTTCTTTAACTGGAGATAATTGTTCTTTTTAAGGTGATTGTGACAGTTTGATTTGCTATTATTTTATTTTACAATCTGCTGCATAGATTTATCTAAAACTATTCAGTAAGTACCGTGTTTCCCAAGAAATAATACATGTCTGGATAATAAGCCCAATCAGGCTTCCCTGGCCACAATGGCAAGGAAAGTGATGGAGCTTGAAAGTTAAGACATGCATCCTGCTTCTCGCCCGCCGCACCTGCCACCCCCAAATTGCATCCCTAAAGGGGGCAGCTGGCTAAGCAAGGGGCAGGAGCTCTGCCATGCCTGGTGAGGGGGGAGGAGAAGAGACGGCAAGGGGAGCCATGTCTCGCTCCACATGTCTTGCTTCTCCCCCGCCCCACCTGCCACCCCTCTCGATAAAGATGGTGGGGAAGGGAATCAGCTGTTGCCATTGGGGTGGGGTGGAATGTGTTGGGCCGCTCAGCCAGCATGAAGAACAGGGAAGGGAGGCGACGGCAGTGACGGGACATCCAGTCCCACGCTCGCCACCTCCTGCACCCCCAAAATAATAAGACCCCCTGATAATAAGGCCAAGTCCTTATTTGGGGGGGTCAAAAGAAAATAAGACCCTGTCTTATTTTCAGGGAAACACAGTAGCCTTTGAAGTTCAGATGAAAGCAGCAGAAATCCAAAATAAGCATTCCACATGGTAGCCAACTTTGACAGTTAATCACTAAAATCAATTTTTTTAAAAAATTATATTTAATAAAAAGTTTTTTGCAAACCTATTCAGGCTGCTACAAGCACAATAAATACAATAGAAACTGAAAGTACAATACATTTTTATGTAAGAGTATATGACAGCCAAGAATCACAGGTAAAACAAAGCCTTGTTTTAGTGCTATACAATATAAATTGTGCCCCCTAGTGATAATTATTAGTATTCCAAAAGAAAGGATTTCTGACTGCACATTGCTGTTGCAGCTTGTCATTCATGGTATTTTGTTGTTATTGTGAGTCCAGCCAATGTAATTTATGGTTTGCTCAGGACAGTACTTTCCTTTTTTTTTCGTGCTGACCACTAATACTTAAGGAAACTGTTTAAACACCTGTTATGTTTAACTTTTAAAATAAAACTTCTTTCAAATTCAACCTAATTCCTGGTGACTTCACAAATACATCTTTGTAATTTTCTTTAAAAGAATACAGTTCAGTCTTTTCAAGAAGCTATGTTTATGTTAACTAATAATTTAGTTTTCAAGGAAAGTTCATTACTTGTAAATTAAATTGTATTTAGGATTTGAGGTTGGAATCCCAAACATGAGGATATGAATGCCGTTGAATTTCAGAATAGAAATCCACATAGTCACCAGGAATCAAACAGAAATATTACCTTTTTACTACTTTTAGTCAATGTAGGTAGGGATTGAAAACTTAAGT